CCAATTTTCTTCGAGCTCTTTCACATGTTATTAGATGATCATCTTACAAGAAAACCTGCATTTCGAAAGCAATTGGTGCGTGTGAGCCTGTAGATATGCTCTAAATAAGCTTTTGATCTGTTTGTATTTGAAAGACCTTTCTGGTAAACTAATACTAAAAAACTCTTTTACATTTTCATAACCAACAATATCAAAACTTTCACAAAAGCTTTACTATATATGCTCTACTCTAGAAAACTCTTCTTTCATAAACTCTACTTAAAGAAACTGTACCAAACTGGTCCTTAATTAACAATTGTATATCGATGTACACATGACAAAGCAACCCATGGTTGCGAGTTTTGGCATATCACATCACCAATTCTATAAAATCAAAGATATGAGAATGCTTCATCATCATCCACATCAATTAAAGTGGTCCAATTTACCTTTTTTCACGTGCAAGCATGATTATCTTCTTTGACCTGATTGATGTCTTATTATATTTTGATTTAGTTAGATGATTCTGTGAGACTCTTGACAAGCAGACGCGGAAGATATTGCTACTTGGTAGCTAAGGCAAGTCAAGAGTTTGAGAGGATGAATAAAACCCACTATTTTCTTTTGTAGGGGAACGTGGATTTCAATACCTGAGACAAAAAGAGACGTTGGTTTCTCAACCTTATTTGGAGACTTGTGGCTACAAATACTTTTCTTCTCAAATTAAAATATAATGCAAGGGACGTAAAAGTAAAATCTAAGCCAGCTATATATTGCCTAATTTCTTAATCCATTACATAGATATTGAATACATCGGAAATGCATGCTACTTTTTTAAACAACGGAATTAAAGTATGGATTTCCATGGAATTATGTTATTGTGTTTGCTTCTTAATTATGATGAAATATTTTGAAAGTCGTGTTTATAAACTCATTACTCATGCATACATACCAAGCAACTCCATGCACCTCTCATACAACAACTTTATCTTCTGCCTCTTACTCTCACTCAGTCGTGAATTTGAGTGCATTGAAGCATGGAGACTCTATAGAGACCTGTTCCTGCAGAAAACACGTCTTCTCTCCTTAGTTATTTGTCCTTTCAGGTGGCAATTTCTAGGCCCCCGTAACCAAATTTTCCTTCCATTCCTCCTTATTTGGTCCACTCATCTGCTTCTATGGGGATGTCGTTTTGTCATAAAGTACATACAAAAACAACAAAACCCTCTTAAATAACCCTTCCTCTTTGTCCATTTTCATTCATTTACATTTTTTATAATATGGAGACCAACACCTCAATATATGGGAAATCACTGGCGCCTGTCCAGCCAAAATCTCCTCTCCAATGATCTTACTCTTACACCATCTCCTTAATTTACAGATATATAAAATAAATTATATATATGATAAGCCTTTACGGTGCATGTATTGTATATTACTATAATATCAATATAATACAAAAATTGGAGACAAAAATTCCATGAGTAACATGACTGGCGAGGAGAAGTGTTTTGATCATTTGATACCCAAAATCCGATTTGACAACACATTATCACGTGGGCTGGTCTCGTGGCTTCTGCCTGACTGATGACTGACTTCATTAGCTATATTATGCTGAAACTGATAAGACATGAATGTCCTCTGGTGCTGTTTTTTATTTTAATTTTAATTTGACAAAACACAATGTAATTGCAACTGTGTAAGATGATTGGCACCACGCTCTCATGAAAAGCCGTGAAAAGCGGCGACACTAATGGAAGGTACCTCTACCTTGTTTCTTCGATACTGACAGCAGTCAGCTAAACAAGCTGCGCCGTTCATGATTCACCAACGCTATTTCCCTATTCAGATGCTCTTTATTTTCGTTCAATATTTTTTTTTACTTGTTTGAATAAATGACTTGGTTTCCTATCTTTTACCTAACTAGCAACTCACTTCTTCCTTGTTTATTTATTTTCCGTACATTGTCATTTTATATGAGTTTATGGCTTCGTTGGTTGGATTTTAGGAATACAACTTTTAGTTATTCCCAAAAAAGTTAAACAGTAAAATACCAAAAACTCACAATATTATTCAACATTTTTTAAACCCCTTAATTGTTAATTCAATTAAAATCCCCTAAATATTTTAATGTTTTTGTTACGGCGACTCCCCACCCTCCGGCTGGTGGCCGACTGTCCGTATTTGAAGGTGATTAGGGGTATTTTTGTTAACTTTTAATGTTTTATTATAAGGGGTGTTTTGTAAAAAAACAAACATAGGGGGTATTTTATATTTTGTAAATCCTACATCGTAATACCCGTCTAATTCAACTTTTTTTTAACTTTTTTCAAAAAACTTTTCCCAAAAACACAAAATTGTGAACCAAACAGAGCCTATAACATTTTCATCCTAAGGTTGGGAGAAAGTGTAACTTTAGTCTAGTAAAATCTGAAAAAGTTATTATAGTTCTTATTAGAGCAATGTTAGTTTTATAAAGATACCTACAAATGGGGCATACAAAGACAATCCTCACCCTTAATTTTCATGATTTCTCTCTCTCTCTCTCTCTCTCTCTCTCTCTGTTTTTTCTTTATTTTTTTCTTCTGGATGATGTCACTTTATAACCTTCTTTGTATGGGTCTTTGTAAGGATAACATTTTTAAAAAAAATAAACAATATAAGTGTATAATTGTCATTTTACAATTTTTAAGAATAATAATATAAATTTTAAAAAATATAATATAAAGTTTGAGTAAAAAAATTAAAGGACAATAAATTACAAAATAAAATTTGTATGAGAATTTTTTTTGGTTTTGTTTTTTATTTAAGTTGTGAAAATGTTGTTAATTTTTTTTTTTTTTTATAACTTCTATTAATTTTTTTTATTGTAATTTATTATATTAATCTCCCAGTTCAGATTTTTTATTTTATTCTTTCTAATAAAACAAACGGGCTATAGTAGACATTTCAGTTTCAGCTTTCAAAGCATTAATACAATATTCTAACAAGGCCTATAATGACTTTTTTCAGAATTTACTGGATCAAAAAATATTTTCTTGAAACCTCAAGGATGAAAATGTCATTAACTCTTTTATATTTGATGAAATATGAGGAGAGATTGTCTTTTTTTTTTTTTTTTTTTTTTTTTTTTTTTTAGGTATTTGAGGTTTTCAGACCAACATTGGAATTTATATAATCCTCAAGGTCACGAAATACCCTAAAAACCCAATAGACCATGGTAATTACACAAATATGGTTAGATACCTCTTTTGCTACTCAAACACAAGATCTTTTAGGTATAACTAATCCTAATGGCTAAAGAGTTTGTCATCAGATCACAAAGGGAGAGGTGATATTATCTATATTGAGTCATGTTTCATATCTCAAATATTATTCCAAATTACTTATCTAAATACATTAATATTGTCTTAAAATGTAAGTGGTGAGCTACATACAATCTCAAGTTTAATTAAAAGACCTAAGTTATGACTATGGTTGGCTTGACTTTTGCTTTATATATAAATATAGATAATAAAAATAAAATTTGAATTAAAATTAAGATAAGGATGAAATTGATTAATGGTCATCATCTATAGCTTTGGAAAAAATGAGGAGCAGGACGGTGTGGAATTAAGCACAGCTAAGTAGAGAGCTTTATGGGTAGGCATGCAGGGCATGGCAGCTTGGCAACGCGTTACAGCAGGTACACTAATGCGTGTATTGAAAAATTTCGTGTCTTCCACTAAAATTAATTGACTAAATTAAAAGTTGTTTGTCCCTTTAACCAACCAAGAAATTAAACAAGTAGAGCGTGTGCGTAATATATATGTATATCAGGAATCTCTCTAACAACCTAATCATTAGAATGTAAACTAAATACATTTATTATAGATGAAGAATATTATTAATCTCTTTAAAGTCATACCCAATTATCATTTTGGAGCTGCCCTCCTTCAAAGTTGTTGACTTCTTGTACTTAAGAATATTGAAAACTTTTCCATCTACTTTCTGTCCATACGTGTCACTTATATATATTTCTGCCTAATAAAATTATCCTAATTTCCAGTATATTAAATTGGGGCTACCCAGCTTTACGTGCGTGACTATATACTAACCCACTGATTGATTTGGTTTTTCAGAACAGGGTAAATTTTATTCACATTTTTTTTAATCTTTAATTTCCTAATTATATTTATAGTTAAGTAGATCTCCTTAATTTAAAATATATATATATATAAATATACAAAGAGATTAGGAGGTTTTTATAAAGTCTACCAACTTTAGACGAGAATGGTGATTATTTTTTAGATTTTCAGATAAAGAAAGTTTTCCTATAACATAATGTAATAAAATTCACCAATAAACATATGTCATTTACTTTTTTATCAACTATTTTCGCCAAAGCGATAACGTTTCTTTTAATCTCCACAAAGCTCCATAAAATAAGGTGGGAGTTCCTCTGAAAAAAAAAAAAAAACTTCTATAACTGCAAGTGTATAATTACTTGCTCTCAAGATGTAAAGGATATCAGTCAATTAAACGGGACCCATTGGCATCCGCAACTGCGAGATTTTGTTATAGATTTGTTGTTTCTGTTCTGTTGTATACAAAATGATACCTTATCCCCAAATGTCTGTAGATGATGTAACCATTAATTATCAAGCGCTTTACCTTTCGCATTGTAATTGCCATTGGAAATTAATTTATCATCTTCCAGTTCCAAATTCATACCTAATTTCTCTGTGCTATGAACTGTCAAACATGTATAATTGCATTGCAGCAGAGTTTGTATAAAAAGTAAATGGCCCAATTTTCCTCGCTCACAATCTCTACTTCACTTGAAAAAGAGACACCACGAAGCTGCTCAACCCCATCTTCGCTGTACCCTTTCAATTTTTGTTCTGTAATTAACTTCTCTCGTTTTAAAAATTTATCACAATTTTTTTGATCTGCAACTTCTAATGAATGATTAAATTTGATCAACATTACTACATTCAAGAAAGAACAATAATTGTATTAAATACTTTACTAAAAGCAATGGAAAAAAAAAAGAACCATACATATATTTTGGAAAAAATAAATAAACAATGACAGTAGCGATAAGTACAATACCGATCTCTGATCACCAGGCCTAGCGATTAGCTGGTGTACAATGGGTTAATCCTCACCGTTGAAGGCAACGAGTTCCTCTCATCAATCACAAACATTAATTATTCCGTTGATCTTCTCTTTTCCTCTCCCTACTATCTTTAATCCTCTACTTACACTGGTAATCATAATTATTAAAATCACATCATCATTTACAACTTTATACCATGCAAGTGACCTCACGCAATCACTTCACTCACCGTTATTAATATTTAACCGTCACGTAATTTTTTTTCACCGTACCATGCACCTTGAACAGTCAACAAGCGTAGAACTCGACGAGTTCATCTAAAGACTCGGGCTGTGGATCCGCATTTTCCAGCATCCAAAGCAAGTGCTCAAACAACACAACCTCGCACGACACATTTATCGTGTCGGATGAATCGTTTGATCGCTCAGCCAGCTCCTTGAAAAGCGGGTGATCAATAATGTCGGAGCTGATGAGATATCGTCTCCGAGATTTTCCGACATAAACAGGGTGAAGATCACCGGAGTTGGCGCAGGAATCGTCTGAGGTTGCGACTATGGAGCTCATGCTGGGACGTGCGCCACTTTGTTTGTTGAAGGAGTTGAGTTTCTTGAGTACTGACTTGAGTTTCATCAGCTTGCCACCTTTCGCCATTTGAGTTGGTTTAATTACTTTATTAGTACTTGAAAGAAAATGAATAAGAAGTATTTCTGTTTGTGTTAGAGAAAAACAGAAACAGAAACAGAAACAGAAACAGAGACAAGAGAAAGAGAGAGAGGTGTGTGTTTGGGGGCTGAGAATGGAGAAGGAAGGTTCGCATATAAAGGGGATGGAGAGGGGTGAAATGGTAATTTAAATTGTAATTGCTGTTACAAGATGAGGGCCCAGTGTTTTGTGTGAAGATAATGGGGGCAAGAATTGAGGCATTGCACCTTTGTGCGTTTGGTGTGTGAGTCGTGTGACTAATGGGATCATCCGTTCATATTAACCTTTTTTTTATTTATTTATTTATTTATAATCAAGGTATTCATATTCAGATCAGTTTGCGGGTAAATGTTTGTATTCCCTCTAATACTAGTTCATTTATAATTAATCGTAATTGTTTAAAGAGGAGAAAATGAAGTTACTGTAAATAAAATTAGTGATTAATTTTAATCAAGCAGTAAAATAGAATATAAAGACGACAGTAGAGATTATTAAATGTATAGCAGTTAATTAAACAGTAAAATGGAATACAAAGACTCGGCGTTAAAGGTTTATAATATGTCAAGATTTGTCCGCATTCACGTACCAACTAGAAAGTTGTTAAATTCCACACAAATTATCACATTTTTTAATTAACAAACTTGTTACTGATAGCGACAGACATGTGGAAGGTGGTGGAAAGGTCTCTCAACTTCGTATACCATTTTTCAATTTATTAAATAAATATATCCCTTGTAGAAATTCTGTTAAGTAAAATAAATAAATAATAATTAACTACAAGAAGAGGGGAGACTCCTTTTTCTCTCCCCATCTACAACTAGAATAGGAACCAAACGGTGGTAACTACCCTAATTTTCAATTTAAATAATAACCAAGAAAACTAAGAAATATTTATAAGCACACAAGATAAATAATTTTATTATATGCACTGTATTATAATGTTAATTTTAAACTACTTCTTTTTTCTTTTTCTTTTTAAAATTTTGAAGATTCTTGATAGAGACAGCATTTATGATAAAAAATAAATTCATTCATAAACTAACATCTACCCACACTCCCTTTGAGTATTATGTCAACAGTTTTATAATATTGGAAATACTTGTGACTTTGTTTTGTTGTTGAAAAGCCATTTGGTTTTCCTTTAGAAATAATTGCAGGTTGCGTTCATGTTTATGCATTTGTTAATTAAAAAATCCTTAATTAATTTGAAATCAAACAAATCATCATAAAAGACAAAAAAGAACAAATTGAGAACTTAATTCAGATGCTCTGTTTGTCGTTTGCAGAAGTTTAATAATAGTTAGTTCATTTGAAACATGGAATTTATGATGCTTAATTTTAATTAAATATGATATAATCTTTGATGAAATTAGGTTTATGACATTTGTGAAATGGGATTCTTTTTTCTTTCTTCCAGCCAACTAAATTTTCTCCAAAAAATATGATGATAAGTCCAAAAGGATAAAATCGATATCCATGAAGGTGATCTTACCATAGATTTTTTCATTACGATATCGAGTAAGGCTATATAATTAATGTAAACGCATTGGATTTAGGGTGTGTTTAACCATAATAACTTTTTTTAAATAAATATTGTTATTAAATTGATTTTTCTTTATATAATTTTATTAAATCACTATCCTCATGTATTTTACGAGTTATGATGAACGTAGAAACAAAGAGATGCAAAGTCTGCAAAAATAAACTCAATTTATACAGAGATAACACCCCAGAGAGACAACATACGAAACATGTTAAATGTCACATGATCATCTCGGGAACTACTAGAATTATTTGGTCAATATATAATAGTTGGAGACATGAATTCCATTAAATTGCGCTTGATTAAGACCCACGGCGGTCAGTGAACACATGCATGTGATCAACACATGGACTCAGCTTGTCCCAAATTGAGAGCCACGTCACCATATTTAATCAACTTCCAATCACACCCATACCTCCCCATGTGAATTTTAACTACTAACTGCATTTTGTTAACAAATTAAAATGAAATATTGCAAAAATTGTTTTGGCATCATCACTCCTTTGTCAAAATTGGCAATATAATTCCTAAATTAAATCCTCTTGCAAAAAGGGTATAGAGATCAATCATTCTCACGCCGATTTTGATGAGAAATGTCAATTTCATATATATATATATACTGAAAACAAAAGTCATATAAAATGAGTGGAAAGTGAAAGCACTAAAAAACAACAATAAAAAAAAGTAATACTATACATACAATATTTTTATACAATATAAGGTGACAAAATATGATTAACTGATTTTAAATTAAAATCAAATTTTCTCTCAATCATCTGTTACCACATAATGTTATATGAGAATATTGTATATGTAGTATTATTCTAATAAAAAATGGCAATTGCTACCGATTTATTGCGATTCTACAACTTTAGTTGGCAGAAAGTTGAGTGTAAGTTGAGAACCAGAACAATAGAGCTTCACATATTTAATATAAAACTTGTTTGTGTTTCATATATATTTTTGGATGGCCAGATTTGTGTCACCTATCCCTACACCCTATCGAGATCTAGTGGTAAGGTCTGCCTACGTGTTGCTCCCATAGTAGATGATTTCTCTAATAAGTTCATTAGTGTTAAGTATGGGTGTTCAGACTTAAGCATGGGCAGAGTTGACTCAGATTTAGATTACCGGGGATTATGCATGTAATCCACTTCATAATAATCACTCCTAACCACTGTCAGACAATGTGTATAAAAGGGGGAGTTCACCTCCATTTGAGGGGATCATTCATGCAAGCATAGGAAACCACTAGAGATGGCAATGGGCCTGGTATTTTCAAGTACCTAGCCCGACCCGTCCCGAAAAGGCCGAGCTTTACCTGGTATTAGCAGGCTTGGGCTTGGGCCTGGGACTAATTTTAAGGTCTGCCCTCAAGTACGGGACGGGCATGAGTATGCCTTCAGTCTCAACCCAACCCGATAATTTTACTATTAATTTTACTAAATTACCTTTATACTATATATCTAATTACAAAATTATCCTACGTATATATAAAAAATTAAAATTTATTAATATTTGGCGAGTATTCAAAAATAAATTAATATTTAAAAATTGTTTATAGAATTAAAAATATAAAAAAATTGAAATTTATTAATATTTAAAAATTCACATTATAAAAATAGGCGGACTTGGGTTGTAACTGAGATTACAAAAAGCCTATCGGACCGAACTTGGGCTTTACCCGTCATCCTTGTGATAGGCCCAGGCCAGGACTGAGCCTTTAACATGGGGTCGGGCTTGGGCCCGGGCCAAGGGGTATCCAGTTCCTGCCCGGCTCATTGCCATCTTTAGAAACCAATTAGAAAGAGAGTTTTAGCTCGTTGGTACATGTTTTCTCCTTGTAATCACTTTGTGTATAAAACAATCACTAAGCAATAACATAACAGCAGACGTAGGCTTGGTTCTAACCCATCGAACCACTTCAAAAATCTCTTGTTTACTCCCATTGTGGATAATCTAATTCATTCCTAGCTGGTTATTTATAATCATGCATACATCCTATCCAATCCTATCATAGTCGATTTGATATCTTTGGTTGTTGCGAAGGTCATGTGTGTGTGTGTAAGTTTTTTTTTTTTTTTAAACACAATGTCTCCATGTTTAAGAGATTATATAATTTACAAACTTTAAAGGATATAAAGAAGACCTATTAATTAAAATTTCATCATTTTCAAATGAGATCGTAACTTAATAGTGATACAAAACTAATTAAGACTGTTCAATAGGAAAAACCGAATGTGATAGGAATATCGTAAACTCGATCATTATTGTTAAAAAAAAATCATCTACTTAGAGCACAAAAGCTGTTAAACTTAAGAAAATAATTGTGTATACCTCATTATATGAGATTATTTTAGTCGTATATGTAAATAGTGTATTTAAGTAGTCTTTGTTATTTAACCCCTAAAAAAAAAATGTTACTTGATATACAAACATAGAATTGATAGTATCACTCAAAATTTAAACGGTATTTGTAAATTAATTACATACAAAAGTTCATTGATTGAAATCCATTCCTATTGAAGATGAGATATTAAAAAATTGCAATAATGCATTGGCTTCATGATAGCAAGGCATTCATTAAGCAGAATCATGAGTATATACATATTAGAAATAATGCATACTTCCAAGAGCGTTGAATATATGCCTTAAAACAAACAAACACTATAAAGCATTAATATATATGTGTGTGTGTTATGCTTAAAAAATAAGGACTGGTGCGAGCTTACGTCACCAAGCGCCAATCAGAGTTCAAGAAGACTTTATGTCATCCAGGAGCTACCACATCATCCAAAGAAAGAAAGAGTATGGTTGTTATCAACTTGACAGACTCAAGGTTTGTCTATGAGTGGGATGGGAGTCGCCCACCTGTCCAAGCCGTACGCGATTTGAGGATATCTCTTATGTAATCAGCCAATGGGAAGCATGGTAGGAATTGTACTACATTTGACCACTTGCAGATTTTTAATCATTACCCTAAAATCTTCGACTATAAATAGAGGGCTCCCCCTCTCATTTTCGGGATTCTGATTAAAAAAACCCGCATTTTGATTGTAACATTTTATTCTCAAAACATAAATAACCTACCAGAAAGAGACTGACTCGATATTCTCTCTAAATAATCAATCATTTGTACCTCTGCTCGCTGTTCGCTATACGCGATCTCCTATAACCTCATATATATATAAGAACAGTGGGCATAAGATTCACTTTAAGCAGCTGAACCACTTTAAAAATCATCTTCCATTTACTTCTTTGCATTTTTCATTCACATATAATTCCTAAGCCAGCTTAGCATTTTGCACGTGCGAATCATTAGTGTCAAAATCCAACATCAACAGTTTGGCGCTAAAATGAGGGCCTGATTTAATATCCGCTCTTCATCAAGAATCTCTGATCAATCAACTCTGCTCGCTGACAAATGGCTCGTGATTTCGAAACCTAGCGAACTAGCCCCAACCCCAAGGAGATCCCCTTGGTACAAGATGATACTTCTTCCGAAGTACCTCCCATTCCACATAATACCGC